ATATATATATATATATATATATATATAGAAGTATGCCAAGTTATTAGATGTGGGCGTAGCCTGCCCGTCACGAAGGCTGGTTAATGATAATAACACGGTCATTAACCTGATGTAATATATTATACCAGGTTGTAAAGCTGAAGTAACAATTAGTTAGAAATATAACGATAATATTAATTGTAATTTACTGTAACTTATATTATTTAATTATAGTTCAGAGGGGCGACGTTTAGTAGCAAGTTGTGAACCATAGCGCGTCCGGGGGTCTCGTCTCACGGTGGAATGAGTTATTCTGCCATGGTTTCGGGGCTCAACGTCCCCGCGGCCCGGTCCTCGACCTGAGTGTGTGAATGCGGATACGCGAAGGTTGACGGTTTGTTAGTTTGGTTGTTACAGTAACCTGATAAGGAGAGGAGGGGAGGGGTGTGGAAAATTAGATGGGAGAGCCATGTGTGGGAGATGGGAGGGGAGGGGAGGGATGGGAGGGGTGATACCATAACACCACATGTCCCCTCCCTCTCTCCCTGACACGCCGCCGCCATGTTGCCTGATCTATCCTATCCGTGGTCCCTATCCGCAATGCATATATGGAACGCGCTTGTGGCCGCATTCCGGCAGCGGTTGTGCCGTAATGCCAGACCCAAACTACAGAAGTTACAGGGGGGGGTAGGAGGGGGGAGTGGTTTAGTATTGAATGAATCGTGGGAGGTGGCAACGCGCTGTAACGGTGGTGCATTCTCTAGAGGTGCAGCCGTCGGGCTAAATTAACCCGTACGGTGCGGGGCTGGAGAGCGTGTTTTTCCTCCGCGACCCCTGTTAACGCTATCGGTCGGCAGAGGGGAGGTGGGAAACACTCCACCGCGGGACAATCAACCTTACGCGATTGATGACACAGGGGTGAGAGTCGCCTGAACTCGGGAACTGGTGCAGTGAAGTGAGGAGGGGGGGGGGGGCAGATTTTGGAACGAACACACGCGCGCGCGCGCACGCTCTATTTCCAATAGCCCCTTTATCAGGAGATTGTGTGGCTTGGGGGTCTAATTTCCACTCATAATATTGTGACTTACTCTCTACATAAACACACAAATTACCATATAAAGGCAATTGAGAAAACTAATGAATCAGCATAGGGAGCCGGTGGCTGAGCGGACAGAATACTGGACGCGTGATCCTGTGGTCCCCGGGTTCGATCTCGGGCGCCGGCGAGAAACAATGGACAGAGGAGTTAGTCAGCTGTCACGGGCTGCTTCCTGGGGGTGGAAGCCTGGTTGAGGACCGGGCCGCGGGGACACTAAGCCCCGAAATCATCTCAAGATAACCTCAAGATAGCATGGCCTCACTCATGCCAGTACTAGGGCTTGCAGCCTACTACAAGCCCCCCAAGAACCAGTACTGGGGCTTGTAGCCTACTACAAGCCCACCCAGGAACCAGTACTGGGGCTTGTAGCCTACTACAAGCCCCACAAGAACCAGTACTGGGGCTTGCAGCCTACTACAAGCCCCCCAAGAACCAGTACTGGGGCTTGTAGCCTACTACAAGCCCCCCCAGGAACCAGTACTGGGGCTTGCAGCCTACTACAAGCCCCCCAAGAACCAGTACTGGGGCTTGTAGCCAACTACAAGCCCCCCCAGGAACCAGTACTGGGGCTTGCAGCCTACTACAAGCCCCCCAAGAACCAGTACTGGGGCTTGTAGCCTACTACAAGCCCCCCAGGAACCAGTACTGGGGCTTGCAGCCTACTACAAGCCCCCCAAGAACCAGTACTGGGGCTTGTAGCCTACTACAAGCCCCCCAAGAACCAGTACTGGGGCTTGTAGCCTACTACAAGCCCCCCAGGAACCAGTACTGGGGCTTGTAGCCTACTACAAGCCCCACAAGAACCAGTACTGGGGCTTGTAGCCTACTACAAGCCCCACAAGAACCAGTACTGGGGCTTGTAGCCTACTACAAGCCCCCCAAGAACCAGTACTGGGGCTTGTAGCCTACTACAAGCCCCCCAAGAACCAGTACTGGGGCTTGTAGCCTACTACAAGCCCCACAAGAACCAGTACTGGGGCTTGTAGCCTACTACAAGCCCCACAAGAACCAGTACTGGGGCTTGTAGCCTACTACAAGCCCCCCAAGAACCAGTACTGGGGCTTGTAGCCTGCTACAAGCCCCCCAAGAACCAGTACTGGGGCTTGTAGCCTACTACAAGCCCCCCAAGAACCAGTACTGGGGCTTGTAGCCTGCTACAAGCTCCCCAAGAACCAGTACTGGGGCTTGTAGCCTACTACAAGCCCCCCAAGAACCAGTACTGGGGCTTGTAGCCTCCTACAAGTCCCACAAGAACCAGTACTGGGGCTCGTAGCCTACTACAAGCCCCCCAAGAACCAGTACTGGGGCTTGTAGCCTCCAACAAGCCCCACAAGAACCAGTACTGGGGCTTGTAGCCTGCTACAAGCCCCCCAAGAACCAGTACTGGGGCTTGTAGCCTACTACAAGCCCCCCAAGAACCAGTACTGGGGCTTGTAGCCTACTACAAGCCCCCCAAAAACCAGTACTGGGGATTGTAGCCTCCAACAAGTCCCACAAGAACCAGTACTGGGGCTCGTAGCCTCCAACAAGTCCCACAAGAACCAGTACTGGGGCTCGTAGCCTACTACAAGCCCCCCCAAGAACCAGTACTGGGGCTTGTAACCTCCAACAAGTCCCACAAGAACCAGTACTGGGGCTCGCAGCCTACTACAAGCCCCCCAAGAACCAGTACTGGGGCTTGTAGCCTCCAACAAGCCCCACAAGAACCAGTACTGGGGCTTGTAGCCTGCTACAAGCCCCCCAAGAACCAGTACTGGGGCTTGTAGCCTGCTACAAGCCCCCCAAGAACCAGTACTGGGGCTTGTACCCTCGATTTACAACACTCAAGGTCAATGATAACTACCTTGTGTGACCTATATAAGATTTTAGGATGATGGGGGGGGGGAGGGGGTAATTCGACTCTAACAAGCAGCAAATAAACGACAATTTGTGAGGGAGAAAGGAGGAAGTCAATTATGAGGCGAAAGCCCTGAAACTGGGCATGGTGGTGCGGCACTCAGAAGAGATATGAGGACAAGGGTTTGAGGTATGAGGAAGGGGTGAAGGAACGGAACCCAACCACTAGAATTGAACTCCGACCCAGCAAGAGGCGAGGGGCGTCGCTGCCGATCACTCAAAGTGGTTGGGAGAGAGAGAGAGAGAGGGATGGATTGAGCAGTACAGATGAGACAACAGGGAAGGATATGTGAGTCTGTAAGGATGCTCACGTATTTGCCTCGCCATAAAACAATTCAGATGTATAAACATCTGAATGTATAAACATAGGATGTATAAACAGGTCCACGGTTGTTCAACACCCTCCCAGCGAGGGTGAGAAATATTGCCGGATCATCCGTGGATATTTTCAAGATAAAACTAGATAGTGTTCTTCTATTCGATAGTTTTGGATAAATAATATATACACGGAAGATACTGGATGGTCAGGTCTCTAATTTGCGCAGTAGAATAACATACTGGAACAAAAGACACGGAAGGAAATGCAGAATAGACCCAGTGAGGAGTAGAGGTGCCATAGGCACAATCAGAGAACACTGAACATCAGAGGTCCCCCCAGCAAGCATTATAATTATTGCCGGAGCGAAAGTGGAGGTATTCAAGAGGCACTTGGACAGGTTCTTGCAAGAAGTGCCTGACCAACGAGGCTGTAGTGGATGTGTGGCCCTGTGGGCCGCTCCAAGCAACAGCCTGTTGGACCAAGCTCTCACAAGTTGAGCCTGGCTTCGGGCCGGGCTTGGGGAGTAGAAGAACTCGCAGCCATAAGTAGGAGATGAGTATAGATGAGTATCCCTTGTGTGTGTGTGGAAGCGCACGCACAAAGCCATCAAGCAGGATTCAGGATGGTTCGATCCCCTGTAATGAAGAGCGTAGGGAGCCTAATTTGGTTTCGTTTAGTCAGATCCTAAATAATTGAATCTTTCCCGAGTCCTGGATATTTTTGGTAATTGGAACAGTCGGGGATTGAACGCCGACCTGCATGAACCGAGACCGTCGCTCTACTGTCCAACCCAAGTGGTTAAACAGGGAAGAGAGGAAGGTAAAAGTAAATAAATAAGGCGAGAATGAGAGGTGAGGAGCAGGTACAAGAAAATGATACTAGGATGATATAAGAAAAGGAATAGGATTAAGCCTGTTAGGCTTATATTGATCCCCCCCCCCACCCACCCACCCACCAAATTCATCATTGTATTGTAAACCAGTTGCATCCATACTGTAGCACTGTATTTGAGTGTATTATTGTTGCTTATAACACACACGAAAGTGATTATATGATAGTGATTAGTGATTAATGAGCACATTTAGCCACGCGTGCCTATCGCGCGCCGTTGGGCACATTACGTCGTTTAAATGAGAAAATGACTGAATTTCAGACATTTGTTTACTGATAAAATACACCGAGGTGTATTTCCTCTGTGACGGGTTTACAGCGAGTTGGAGGTTGGGTCTATGAAAGTGTGTGGGGCAGGTGTGGTGTTGGCAGGTTTGTTGCTGCCTGGTGTGGTGTTTGGCAGGTTTGTTGCTGCCTGGTGTGGTGATGGCAGGTTTGTTGCTGCCAGGTGTGGTGATGGCAGGTTTGTTGCTGCCTGGTGTGGTGATGGCAGGTTTGTTGCTGCCAGGTGTGGTGTTGGCAGGTTTGTTGCTGCCAGGTGTGGTGTTTGGTAGGTTTGTTGCTGCCAGGTGTAGTGTTTGGCAGGTGTGTGGCTTCCAGGTGTAGTGTTGGCAGGTTTGTAGCTTCCAGGTGTGGTAGAGGTAAGTGTGGTGTAGCCAGGTAGTATAGTTTTCGTAATTACCTTTAATCACCAAGAATTTATAATTGCATATTTACAGACTGACTAATTATCACCCGTAACTAACTATAATGTTTATTAATAACGTGATAAATGAGTATTATTAAGTGTGACTACAATTGGGTTTCTCGTTTCAGGAATAATTATGAGTCAGTCGTTGTGTGGAGTTTAATAAGGAAACACTGATCCTGTTGTGGATACCGCCGCCGCCGCCATGTTGAAGCGCCCTTCAACCTTCGCTACCCTCGCCCTCCTCGCCCCCCTCGTCCAGGTCCTACTCGGCCAGCACCTGGAGAACGACCTCCAGTCGCTCCTCCACGACCTGGATGTCAACCAGGGCGCCACGCCGCTCGGCGACCCCACCGACGACGACTTCGAAGTGGAGGTGTTCTACCGGCCGGAGCCTGAAGAACGGGCGGGGTCGTCGTCGGTGCTGTCGACGACTAGGGGCGTGAGGAGGTTGTGGGGCGTGGCGGACACCGAGGCGTCAGTGGGACGACTCTTCTCTTACCCGATCCCAGCTGATGCCTTCGAGGGAGACGTCGTTCAGTATCAGGTGAGTCGCGTTCAATCCCCCTGACTGTCCTAGTGGTTGGGCGCCACTCCTGCCTGGGTCCAATCTGGAATCCTCGGTTGTGAGTCAATGACGTAGCTCCTTGCGCTACAGGAGCCTCTGTTATTTTTTTGCTATCTGTGCCCTCAGGTTCGAGCTCTCAGCTCTTGGACCTCGCCTTTTTTACCATCGGTTGTCTATGTACTGACCTATTTTCCTCTTATATCTGTTACGTGTATTTCACACACACACACACACTCACACACACACACACACACACACACACACACACACACACACACACACACACACACACACACACACACACACACACACACACACACACACACACACACACACACACACACACACACACACTCACACACACTCACACACACACACACACACACACACACACACACACACACACACACACACACACACACACACACACACACACACACAGTTTCAAGTGTAGATATGATAGAGCCCAATAGGTTCAGGAACCTATACACCAGTTGATTGACAGTTTAGAGGAGGGACCATAGAGCCAGAGCGCAAGCACAAATAGGTGAGTACCTAGACAAACTGAAGGAATGTCGGTCGAACAAATGGTTCTTAGAGTTTATCCCAAGCAAATGTAATGTAATGAAGATAGGTGTAAGGAGCAGGAAACCAGTTATAAGGTATCATTTGGGAGATGAAATTCTTCAAGAGTCAGAGAGAGAGAGAGAGAAAGACCTGGGGGTTGATATCACGCCAGACCTGTCCCCTGAAGCCCACATCAAGACGATAACATCAGCGGCATATGCCAGGTTGGCCAACATAAGAATGGCATTTAGCATCTTGTGTAAGGAATCATTCAGTACTCTGTATACCACATATGTCAGACCAATCCTGGAGTATGCAGCTCCAGCATGGAGTCATATCTTGTCAAGCATAAGACTAAACTGGAAAAGGTTCAAAGGTTTACCGAGTCGCCTGACAGCTGGGTGGACAGCGCTTCGGATTCGTAGTCCTGAGGTTCCGGGTTCGATCCCCGGTGGAGGCGGAGACAAATAAGCAAAATGTTTCTTTCACGCTGATGCCCCTGTTATCAAGCAGTAAATAGGTACCTGGGAGTTAGACAGCTGCTACGAGCTGCTTCCTGGGGTGTGTAACAAAAAGGAGGCCTGGTCGAGGACCGGGCCGCGGGGACGCTAAGCCCCGAAATCATCTATCTTGAGGTTATCTTGAGATGATTTCAGAGCTTTTTAGTGTCCCCGCAGCCCGGTCCTCGACCAGGCCTCCACCCCCAGAAAGCAGCCTGTGACAGCTGACTAACACCCAGGTACCTATTTTACTGCTAGGTAACAGGGGCATAGGGTGAAAAACTCTGTCCATTGTTTCTCGCCGGCGCCTGGGATCGAACCCAGGACCACAGGATCACAAGTCCAGCGTGCTGTCCACTCAGCCGACCAGCTTCTACAGTAAAGGTCAAAGGTTATGCCGGTTATAGTTCTCTACAGTAAAGGTCAAAGGTTATGCCGATTATAGTTCTCTACAGTAAAGGTCAAAGGTTATGCCGGTTATAGTTCTCTACAGTAAAGGTCAAAGGTTATGCCGGTTATAGTTCTCTACAGTAAAGGTCAAAGGTTATGCCGGTTATAGTTCTCTACAGTAAAGGTCAAAGGTTATGCCGGTTATAGTTCTCTACAGTAAAGGTCAAAGGTTATGCCGGTTATAGTTCTCTACATCTGTGGGGTGCATTGGTTTGTCATATTGGCACCAGTCGTTAAGAGTTCTCGTGTACTGGGAGCTAACTCAGTGTAGAGCCTGGTCGACGACCGGGCCGCGTGGTCGGTAAGCCCCGAAATCACCTCAAGGTAACCTCAAGGTAGGGTACGATGGTCTGGTTAATGTTTATAGCCCTCTGAGGCTCATTGTCACCCGCGGCTGGCGTCTGAACAGGCCGCCTGCCTGGTTGGTGGTCTGGTCAACCAGGCTGTTAGACGCAGCTGCTCGCAGTCTGACGTATGAATCACAGCCTGGTTGATAAAGTAGCCCTTTAGAGGTGTTATCTTATCTTGAGGTTATCTTGAGATGATTTCGGGGCTTTTAGTGTCCCCGCGGCCCGGTCCTCGACCAGGCCTCCACCCCCAGGAAGCAGCCCGTGACAGCTGACTAACACCTAGGTACCTATTTTACTGCTAGGTAACGGGCATAGGGTGAAAGAAACTCTGCCCATTGTTTCTCGCCGGCGCCCGGGATCGAACCCAGAACCCAGGTGTTTGCCAAGTTCTCTTTTGAACAGTGTGTGAGGGTCGGCTAGTTATGTCTCCTGATGTTTAGAGGGGAGAGTGCTGAACAGTCTCGGGCCCTGATAACCTTGGGTTGACGGTCTCTACATGAAAGAAAAGATAATGATTATAGCAATATGTAGGTCGTTAAAGGTCAAGGAGCCTATACAGGCCGTTGGACGCAGTTAGGAGGCTGGTCGTTAAGGCTTATGAGATAGAAGCTCGCAGGCCATTGGACGCAGCTGTTGTTGTTGTTGTAGATTCAGCTGCTCTGAACAAAAGTTCCAAGTAGCACGGGCTATGGTGAGCCCGTAGTGGACTTACCTGGCACAGGCGCGGGGCTATATATAACTCACTTGTTACAATCGATTGCTTATATAATCGGTCGATTATGTATGTTGGACGCAGCAGGGAGGTGGTCGTTAATAGGTCAAGGAGCCTATCCAGACCGTTGAAGGAAGTAGGAAGAGTTGGTCGCTAAGGGCGAAGGCGTCTGCACGCCGCTGGTCGCAGTAGGAGAGTGGTCGTTAACGGGCAAGGAGCCTGCAGAGTCTTGGATGCTGTGAGGGGTGGACGCTGTCGGTAGCAGGCAGCGTAATTCTGCGTTCCTGATGTCTGGAGTATTGACCCAATATACATGCCAGGCAAGCAGGCCACCCTCCCTCTCTCTTCCTCCTCTCCCTCTCT